CTACATTATCTTGGAGCAGAAAATCCTGACCTTCAGGAATGGGGTGAGCAATTAGATGTTTGTTACCAGATTGACTGCAGCCTAAAGATGCATCCTTTGGTAAGTCATAGCCTCTTTGGTGTAATTTTTCTGCAGCAGCTTTTTCTCCCAAGTGGTTACTGCTTATCTTGCACAGGTATTGCGAGGTTTAGCTCCCTGGATACAAAGTCATATAGTGTCATAAACTAGATTCTTACTTGATTAAGAAAAAACTTACACAAATGACATTTAAGAGTAACTTTCCCCAGGTATGTTCCTTTAGTTCTGTATTAAGTATTAAATTATATGGCGAACATCAGTTAAAGCTTCCCAGCCTGCTTAGACAGATAAAGTCATTAAAACTAACCTCCTGCTTGGGAAATTTAAAATTTAAGTCCTTTAGAAGGTATTCTGAAGGGTTTAAAGCTGTAACAGAGAAGTTTCCTGGAGCTTAACACATTTCTGTACCTAGTTTCCAAAGTAGGCTTAGCAGTGCAAGCCAGAGATTTGCTCAGAGTCACCAAATGCAGGTTCCTAAATCACCAGCCACTAATGTATTTCGGAACCATTCTTTGTCCCCAGACTCTACTCTCTTGCTTTTAGCAGAATGGCTAATGACTAAGTGGGGAAAAAACCTTGGTCTTGATCCTCACCCAAACCCAGGCTAGTGCAAAGAACAGATCAGCTCATCAGCCAGGAGCATCAGGTGCCAGCATCTTAACAAAGTGGCTTCTTAATATTTGCCCTTCAGTGGTGTGTCTTAAAAGCATGGGTAATATCTCTCTTACTAAAGGTAAGTGTTTAGACCATATGATTATGGGAGCTTTTAAGATCTATGGGTCAAATCATTAACTGTGCAAGGTGCTGCTAGTCTGCATAAGGAAATGCTTTCTCAAGCTGCTTTTGGAGGTCCAAAGCTGTCAATAGTGTTGTACCAGCTGTGTACCCAGTGCTGAGAACTTGCTGTGCATCAACCCAAGTTAAGTACCCAACATAAACCCTTAACAGCAACTAGAACACCTCCTCTGTTGTTTTTCAAGTGCTTCTGGATACAGCTCATGTGTAGATCATGCCTGCAAGGTTAGTGCTTGAACTGTGGTGTAGGTGCCTAAAAACAGATGCACGTTATCTTTGATTCTCTACTAAATCCTACAAAACCAGTCATGTAGGGAATGGTTAGCCTGGAGCACAAAGGGTGGAATCTGAATGGGGTATGTTAACATTTAGATAATAATACAGCTTTGAAGACCAGGAGGTATTGTGCTCCTTTCTGAAGATGTTGTCTTACGTTTGTCTTTGCCTAAAGGACAGCATATATTGGATAGGGGAGCAAGGACCTGCTGGTGAGCTACAAGTGGTGTCATGGTGGCTTGTAGATAAGTTCTTACTCCAGAATTTGCAGTGGCAATGCAATGGGATCTTCCTAGTCCAACCAGACTGTGTCTTGTGTTATTGTCTAAAGGAAGATGTTTGGTAGCCTTGTGCTGATGGCTTACGTGAGTATTGCCTCCTTCTGAACAGCTGCTCTAGCTTTAAGTAGGATTGGCAGCTATCATAAGGTAGTGGTTGAAGATAAGGTGTTTCCAATAAACTTAGATGAGCCCATGCAAGAGGCTTTGTGCAGGTTCCTGGTGCTGTTTGCAGCAGGTCTTGTTTTCTGTTAGCTGTGGCCACATAGGAACAGGTTACAGATATACTGAAACAGTTTAAATCGCTATATATGAAGAGTATTTGTGTTGCCTTAAAGGCACTGGTCACTCATCACAGCGAGTCAAGAAAGACATTGGTCAGAACAACCAGGAAAATCTAGTCTCAGTATGAATCCAACCAGGAGATGGCAGCATTGATGCATGCAAAGAGTATTTCAAAGTTAAAATGCTTCCCTGAACCAACAGGAAAAATTAGTATCCTTCAGTTGGAAGATGTGCTGGTTTAGCATTACATAGGTAAATATTAATAAAATAGGCCTAGTTTTAGCTTTTGTCCCTAATGGGCTAATGCAAGTCAGTAAATTAAAAATGCACTTCAGTTGGCATCTAAATACTGGAGCCACATTTGAGCTGGTAATGATTTAACACAGGATTTTGAAATTCAATGCTCATGATCAGAAGTGGTTATGGCATTAAAAGGCTGGAAAGTTAACAGATGCTAGTGTTGTCATTTCTGCATACCTGCTCTGTAAAGTAATTGTAGATTTGCTTAAAGCTGTAAAATTGGCTTTTGTTAAAGCTTAAATCTAAAAATCCTTGAGCCTTTTGTTTCAGTGTTACTATTTTCCTGACCTTATGGCATGTATACATGTGCACTGACATGGGGAGAGTCTGATAACTGGTATATTGGGTTACCTGACCTGGTAAATAAGGAAAGAGCTTGGCCCGGGGGGTCTTGATTCTGTCTTTCTGCTCCCATTAACAGAAGGGAATGAGCATGGTCCCTATCAACAGGGTGCTGTTGTCTGATGCTTTCATGTCAGGCAAGGTAGCTGAGGGCACACTGCTGTGCCCTCTCCATGGCTGGCTCTACAGATGTTTGACAGAGCTAATTTGTCACAGGGTCATCCCCGGATCTGGTGGGATGCGCCAGGAATGGCCTGAGTTTGAGAGGCTGTATTGTGCTCTCCTGTGGCAAGCAACAGGCTGCATTTATGTGAAGAGCCAAGAGATATAAAAGCAATTTCTTCCTGGGCTTTTGGTGACCAGGGAGGTGAATGGGCCTCCACTGTGCAAGGTCGCATTATTGTCTGTCCTCCACATCTATTTGTCCAGTAGTTGATGCAGCTAAAAAGCATGTATGTGGTTGGTGACTGCAGAGCATCTGCACAATTACATTTCACCCTCGCTTGTTCAATTTACTTATAGCTTCCAGATTAAGTATGAATTCTCTTGGTGCAGTGTTATCATACTGGTGCTGCTTGACCGTATTTAGCTAAGAAATCAAACTGTGGAGACGTGTATTATGTTCTAACTTTGTCAGCATTGCCTGGAAGGTGCTGCAGTGATTGAGATCTGGGCACAATGAATTTGAGACTTTTCTGAACCCATCTGTCCCAGGTTGTTACTGTCTTTAAAATCTTGTGGGCTAATAGATAGGTGTGAACCTAATCTTGCATGCTTCCCTTTAGAGACCTGTGTTCGACATCAAAAGACTGCTGGGATTGTTAGTGATGGTAAGGTATGAATGTAGGAACAAATCAGGTAACACATTGTACATTCAGGTGCACAGTGAAAATGTCACTGTTCTGTCTGATGTTAGCAGTTGCAGCTTGTGGCTTTTTGTGTACCAGAAGTGCCCCATGGAGCCAATCTGACAGCGCAGCCCGGGTGACACGAGCCTCTATTTCCTTTCATAACAGCACAATGTAATCACTCTTTTTGTTCTTGTGCAGCCACAGGCTCCCTTGTAAGCACAAATTCAAATGGGAGAAACATCAAAGTTAATTTGAAATGAAATGCACCCCAAGTAGTCTGGGGGAAATGGAGACATTACTTTGAGGCCACCCTTCTCCTGCCAAAACTGCAGCACCCCAGATGTCAGAAAGCCATGCTGCGCTCTTTGTCTGGTCTTGATTGACTGGATTGTTTTCATCCGAGCCTTTTTAAAGCTTTCCTCCTGCCTCCATGTTTTTTAAGGAATAAAAAGCTAATATAAGGACATGGAGTGTTATGAAGCATGAAGTTCTATAAATATTTATGCTGAACTATCAAAAAAACTTGACAGTTCTTATTTTCTTGACAGATTGGGGTCACTTGTTATTTTTGACCCTGAGAATTGAAGAGCACATGGAGTTAGATCTGTTTGTAATGACTTTGGATATTGTTGTCTGGTAAACTTGTAGGAATGTAACAGGATAACAGACTTTTTTTTTTGTGGTCTGTCTGTGAAAATGGAACTTAAGCCTTGGGCTGTGTTACCCACAAATCATTGCTCAAATTACTGTTTCTGTGCAATGTGGCAGTGAATTCCTGAACTTCCTTTGGCACATGCGAGTTTGAGGTAGCAGATGGGTTTATCACTTCACATGGACAGCTTTCACTTGGGTTGCCCTTGGCTTGAAGTACTCGGTGATCATCTTTGTCTCTAGGAACCACAGTGTGTTCCTGAGGCCAGCACAGGATGGGAACAAGGAAGGCTAAATATCTGGCTTATAGTGTCCCCAGTGTTTTGCCACCAGTCCCAGCACTGCTTTAAGTATTTCTCAGGCCAACTGAAGACAAACTCCTGTTAAAAGTGCCAGTAAACAGGTCTTTCCTGGAAAGAGGAGAGGTTTGTAACTCTTGAGGATCCTTATTGAACATTATGCGCACACAAGCTTAATTCCTGCCTGAAGCTGAAGTGGCAGGTGAACATTTTAAAGCCAGGTCTGGCTTTTTCAGCAAAGCTGGAGCTTTGTGGCAACAGCCATGTTATTACATCCAGCTGCAGGGGCCTTTCTTGCCTGCAAATCCCTTGTGTAGGAAAGGATCACTCCGATGGTTCACACTGAATGAAATCTAATGTGTTTTAAGGTAAATCTTGAATATATTGTGTGCGTCCGTGTCTCTTGAGGTCAGTCACTAGGGGGCACAAAGGAACTACCTAGGAAAGAAGTTTATTCTTCCAAGTCCTGCGTTTCCAGTTTACCTCTCTGAAAGGGGGGCGGGTGGGGGGGAATTCCTGTGGCAGCCAAAAGACAGGATAGCTTCAAAATTCTGGTTTCATTGTTATTTTTTCCCCACTCAAATCTATTTCTGGTTTGGAAGTTAAAATCTTCAAGGGGACTTCCACTTTTCTATAAGCACATTTTGTGTTCAGAAGGTACGTAGCTCTCAGAGCAAACGCGTGAGCTGCTCATCAAGAGCTGTTAAGTACAGCTGGTGTAATTCCTTGAAGTTATTTCCTCGTTTCTCAGTTTTCTGTGCTTGGAACCATCTCCAAATGTGTTGGCTATATAAAGAGTAAGGCAGCAAAAGGAATTGTTCTCTGAACTTGTGGGTCTTTTGCAGGTTGCCTGCCTCATACGGGTTCCATCCGAGGTAGTCAAACAAAGGGCCCAGGTTTCTCCTTCCTCGAGTACCCTCCAGATTCTCTCCCGCACCTTGTATCATGAGGTGAGTTCAGAGCAAGTCACTTCATTCTTTCCACTCAGTTCCATACATGTCCAGAACCATTCCTGCAACTTTATTCCAGTTCTGTGTTCTCCCAGCACTTTCCTATCTCTTCTTCTGTTAAAAGTGATTGGCATGTTAAGTTGAAGGAAACCAAACCCCCACCTTCCCCATGTGCATGCACTTACATGCACACTCTAAACAACTCTTTCCCCTTCTTTTTATATGAAATATCTACACTAAAAAATAAATTTAAAAAGGGGATTTAGCTTTCCTGTTTCCAAAGCTCTGCATGTGTTTATCATGGAATGGTTTGGGTTGGAAGGGACCTTAAAGCTCATCCAATTCCAACCCCCTGCCACAGGCAGGGATGCCTTCCACTAGACCAGGTTGCTTCAAACCCCGTCCAACCTGGTCTTGAGCACTGCCAGGGATGGGGCAGCCACAGCTTCTTTGGGCACCCTGTGCCAGTGCCTCAGCACCCTCACAGGGAAGAACCTCTTCCTTATGTCTAATCTAAATCTACCCTCTACATGTCCTTGTAAAAAGTCCCTCTCCAGATTTCTTGGATGCCCCCTTGTATTTATGCCATGTTATGGGAAAACAGAAGATCAAGTCTCTGTATCTAGAGTTTGCTGAATGGTTTCCAGTTTTTGTAGCTGGCTTTAGAGGGGGTGTCCTCAAGGCACCATTTCAGAGAGGCTCTGTAGGAGCTCTGGAAATGAGTGCTTATCCAGTATTTGTAGCTTTTGAAAAATAAGGGCTTTTGTTATCTTTTCTGTAGTTATACTGATCCTTCCTGTAGAAACTGTTCACCATTGTTTTTACTGAGTCTCACAAGGGGTATTTTTCAAGTTTATTCCGTAAGAGAAAGTGGCTCCTGAAAATACTGTGGGGAAAATATTATACATATTTCTGTGTGTAAAGGCCAGGAAAAGGAAGCCATAAATATGACCTTTAAATGATCCACTTGATTTTTATTTGCTTGTAAATAAAAACTGTTGTGATAACCCTGCACAAGAGGGTCACTGAAACTTCTTGCTTGAAGAATGGATTGGTCATTCTGCTCTAAAAGCTGGTGCTCTCAAAACTGTATGGTTTTCCCCTTCTTTATAGCTGGCAGAGAGCCTTAGGTTTTGCCAAACACTTGAATAAACTGCCCTATAAGATAATTAATATAATCTTACATACTTATAAAATTGTAATGGTTTTTAATGTTATCAGCTAGTTAAAAATATAAAATGTCTCAATAAAAGCTCTGAATCAAGACTAAATGTGGTCAGGGAAAGTTGTCATCCAATGAGTTCATTTTTGCATGGGCTATTCAAACAGAATGGGGATAGTGCATACTTTTAGACCAAAGTTTTGGGCAAGTAGAGTTTGAAGTAATGTATTTCTGTATCTTCTTGTCATTTTAATTTTAAATGTAAGGCATATCCTCTTTTCCATAACTGTTTATTATGAACAGTGGCTAAATGATCTTTGAAATGAACATAAACCCCTCTGGTACTGTGAGTCATGGAATGCGGTATGCAATGCTATAATCAATATAGTCAATTTGCAAGAAGTTCAGGTCTGACATTCAGGCTACAATGTTTGCGTCATAATTACTGATAAACTGTGGTCTTTGGCAAACTAATTCCCTATAGCTAATGCTTTCTTTTGTTGGCTTACAGGGTATTCAAGGACTTTATCGGGGTTACAAAAGCACAGTATTAAGAGAGGTAAAACACTTATTTTTCTCTTTTAATTGATTCCTTTGTGTCACTTTGTTTTCTAACACCAGATAGTACGATTGAGATCAGCTGCTCTAACCATAAGCTCTAAATCCTAGGGTGTTTCATTCTAGGTAAGTTACTAGTTTGTGATCGAAATAGAATACTGATAATGTGCACTAAGAAAACTTATGATACATGCAAAAAGTTGTCTACCACCCTGTGTCTCAGTTCTATTGCTGAATTGTGAAAGGATGGAAATGTGTATGTTAACATGATGAAAACCATGAAGTAAAATACTGGAAACTTCCTCCAGTGCTGTGATTGCATCATTTGCAGTATGCATGCCAACAACGGTGAACTGGTGGCATCAGGCCAAGTTTGGCACAGACAGATTTAGGCATTCTTTAAATATATTTGTCAGCAGATGCCAAAAGATTATCTGTCCTCTGCTATACAGAGAGGATTGTGCTCTCTTTTTAAATGGGTGAAAGCAATGCATTTAGTCATCCAGGCTGTGGATGTGATACGGCATTACTTAACTCTAAATCAGAATACTTCACTGCTGGAAAAAAAACGATGGAGCTAAAAATATTTTGGCCTGCTTGGCAGAAAATAGCTCCTAAACTAAAGTCTCTTCATAAATGTACTGTGAATTACAGGATTAGTGTCATGGAAGTGTTTGATGTGCTGTGTAAACTGGGGGCAGATTATAAGAGGTTGAAAAACACACTGATGAGCTCCTAGTCTAAAACTGCTTCAGAATTGCAGCCCATTTGGTGCACCATTAGCACCTCAAATAAAGAGATAAGGTTCAATTCCTATGAAAACATAAGAGCTTTTGTCCAGGAAGGTTCTTAAGTACTCTGTTCCATGTGCTGTGTGTGGGTTTGTCCTCTCCTTATGTAACTTGCTGAATAAACGTTTGGATCTTTGTTGCTTTCCTGTTTTAAACACAGGATCAGGTCTTTTGGCTGTGTTGCATTGATATTAAAGCCAATTGCAGAGGCTTTTCAAGCCTCCATTCAATAGCTCTGCTTTTAAAAGCCTTTCTTCAAGCTGAAAGCTGCTTTTAGGACAGTTACGCTAGCCGGCTCTTGTTACAGTTGTGGTATAAGAATGGGTATTACCTAAAATAAATACCAAATATAGAGTTCCTTAAAATGCTGACACATAATAATGGACTGAGTCTAATTTTGGCAGGTCTGAGTGTTTAAAAAATCACTTATTTGTGCAGAGATGATACCTGCTTTTCTGAAATGCAAACCCCACCATAGCTTTGTCCTGTACTGATTTTCTGGCTCACTAAACATGGTATTCACTCAGATGTCATTTGCAGACGGGCAAAAAAAGGCCAACAAATGATTTTGATTTCTCTGAGGGTTTCTGAATAAATGAATAAATTTGGATCCCATTGCATACAGATTTTGCATACTAACAGGTAGATAAAACACATGGTTACCACTGGGTGCTGTTCTCCTTAAAATCTGTTTTGACACATGTCGGGGTGGTAATTCGTTTGCAGACCATATTCATGGCACAGTGTATGACCCTGCTGAGAGAACTTTGTTTACTCAAAATGGCAGCACTTTGCTGGAAATTTAATGGGCGTCCTCTCCATTATGTATATTCATAAAAGATCTTTCAGAACTGATTTCAGTTGAAATATTGCTTTTTGGGAGAAACTGTCCAATCAAATGAGAAGTAAATGAAATGTGCTTTCTCTTCCAAATGAATCAAATCAATGGTGATGTTTAAAAGAAAAACATCATCTTTGAATTTAACACTGTCAAGGCTGTTGTCTTTTTCTGACACTAAATGTTGTAAAGTAATGTCCACTTGAGTCAGAACCTGCACCTGGAACTGTTGTAAAGCCTGACACTTAAACTTGGTGTTTTCCCTTCTCTTTAGGGACACTTCTTCCTTTAAGGAAAGTCTTTATTTTCAGATAAAAATCTGTATTAATTCATTATTGGACACATCCAGGTGGCTGCATAGTGTATATAAACTGATACTTAATTCCAGCTGACTTCTATACGTATGGACTTTGTTCACATGCTTTGGTTCTTCACTTACACAAACCCCTTTGTTTAGTTACACAGGAGTGGGGTTTTTGAATAGAGGGGCTTCAATGCATAATTTCTCATGGAAGAGGCTGGGAATATTGATGCTTTTCAGATGATGATATTCTTGCACTGCCAAAATTCTTGAGCCAGAATTTGAGGAAGGTTAATTTTAGTTGCTGCTTTGAGATAAAATTTTGCATATTACCTAAAGCAGTGCCTGGCCAGAGATGTGCTTGCCAATTGTTTGGGCTTAAGTGAAAGTCAGTCTCTTATAAATGGAGTGAATGTTGAAACCTTGTCTTTATAGCATAGCAGATCTTTTCAAGACAGCCTTATTCTGCTCCATGTAATTTGCATTAGCTGCTGTGCTGCTTCTGTTCTGGTGCAAGGTAGTTGCTTCATCCTCACTCTTTCACTTATCCTTCTGTTTTCTCATCAGAATAATCTCTGTACAGATGAATACTGGAAGAAAAAGAAAATGGGTATATGTGTAATGTTTTTGGAAATAGCTTGGTTAACCTCAGTGCTTGGAAGTTTTGCCTGACTCTTTCAGCTACCTCCTTTTTGGTGCTTCTTCTCTCACATTGCCATTACATTTTGGTCTTTACATCTTTCTTTGATGCAGTTACACTAAACTAATCTGAAAATCAAAGGGGAAGTGAGGTACAGTGCCTCGCTCTGTTGGCAGTAGTAGCCCAAAAGAGACATCTGTGCTCCAAGAGGAAAGCTTTTGTGATAAAGCACAAAGCGGGAGCGTGGTTATTAGGTTGCTAAATGAGACTTTGAATAAATCGGAGGCTGTGAAATGATGTGGAATTCCCATGATGTCATTTCCAAAGCAAATCCAAGTGAGAATTATCCTTCCCTATGGGTGTAGTGTACCAGTGTGCATTGGTGTGGAAACTGCTTCCTGCTACTAAAAGCTGTCAATGAACAGGTAAATTTATTCATTTTTTCCACAAAAGAGACAAGTTCATTTGTAAAATCTCATAACAAGGCAGGAGCAGCCTATAAATCCATTATAAATCCTCTAGTATTTCTTAATAGGAACACAGCTCTGCTGCTGAGGTCTTGTATAAGCAAGTGGAGCCAGATTTTTAATTCCTGCATAATTCATTTTATTAACTATGACCAAGTAGAACATCTGTTAAAATTCCATAATGTTCAGTTCATGGGAAAAAGAGAGAAACCCCTGAGTTCCCATTGGAGCATTTCCATTCCCATTAATGCTACAGGACTCTAGCAGATGTCTTAAAAGATGTTATGAATGACAGGACAACATAAAAGAAAAGGAAATGCCTTGTCCAGTTTTCCTGTGTAAACTAGCTTGCTGTAGAATGAGTTATTTCACCCTCTGCGTGTCTGTGTGCAGGTTGTGGCTTTGCACAAGAAGTGCCACGTTTAGCTGTAGTGTCCCTTCTGTTGGGAGTTACCATAGTGAGTGAGTCCTGAGTGGGTGTTCTGTGTGGTTTTAATCTGATTTGTTACTTTTGTAAAGTACTGCAAATGGACTGGGCCCTAACCCAGAAATAGGTTGAAAAGGAGCTAAAATTAATATTGAACCCTTCCTTAAAGACAAAGGGGATGGAAGATGACTGGCTCTTTATACTTCACAGATGTCTTGAAATGAGACTAAGACTTCTACAAACATGGAATAGTTTGGGTTGGGAGGGACCTTAAGGATCATCCAGTTCAAGCCCCCATGGACAGGGACACCTCACACTAGATCAAGTTGCTCAAAGCCCCATCCAACCTGGCTTTCAAATCACAGTCCAGTGTCAGTCTTTGTGCAGGTAGCCCTAAGTAAGCCTGTCCTCTATGTTGCCTCATGGACTGTTTGGAGGCAGTTCAGGCTCTATGTGCAATGGCCTCTGTTCAGGTAGAGGTGGTATTGATGCTTTACTTGACAATGTTTTTTCAGAGCTCTGAACTTGAAAGGAACTACCGATAAATCTGAAGCCACTCTTTTACAGCATGCTGGTGCTCTTACTTGCAGAGAGGTAACCTAGTTATCACTTTGGGAGTCCTAGTGTTTTAAGTTAGTACAGTTGTGGGTAGCTTTGGGTTTTTCCTATTGGTTTGGGTGTTTTTTTTCCCCTTCAGTGTATGCATGTTAGAGCCCTAAGTGGATAAAGGCAGCTGCTGCTACCCTGGGGTGGAGAGAGCACTCCATGCTACATTAATTTTGGGGAGGAGAAGGACAGCTAGTTAAAAGTATGTTGTGGCATTCATGAGTGGCAGCAGTGTGATGAGCAGGCAACAAATTCGGGCTCTTGCCATTCTCAGAAAGCCAGGAATTAATAATGCCTCTGAGGAGGCGGAGATACTGTTTGTTGTATGGATGCCTGACTAGTGTCCTGACATAATGTGTCTATCAAAAGGGGTATGGAGGATATGCAGTGCAGCCTGTGCAGGAAAAAATACCTACAAAAAAACCTTCTTAAATGACTTACTAGCTGGGAGATGGAATCTAAAGCAACTAGCAGCCAAATGGGCCTTAAAGGCTCACCTGCTGCTTATTCCTAAATGTAAAGGGTCAGTGCACAAAGGATGCTGAGAAGGTTTAGTGTAAAACTGAAACCCAGCTGAGACCTGTTGCCCCTGCTGAGGGAGGGAGGGGATGTGTGAGCTTGAGGAGGAACAGTCTGCAAACAAGGAGCCTCACTTGTTTATCCACCAGAGGTAGTTCTGCATGCTTTCCTTTTGTTAGGACATCTTCACATAAATATCCTGTTCTCCTAGCTGTTAGAGCCTTTTATTAAGTTTATCTCTGTTGCTGTAGGACAGAAAGAATGTTATTAATACATTCTTTTACTTACGCAATTAAAACTTTGATCTCCTAGTTGCCTCTATTACAGAGCAGATGTCGATAGAAACAGGCAAATGGGACACTATGTTAATACAGTACTTGAAAAAAGAAACTTCCTCTTCAATGAAATATGT